TTGGGGTCTTGTTCACGAATGAGGGGAAGATGGAGCAGGAGATCGACAGGCAGATTGGTGCGGCGTCACCTGTGAAGCGGGCCCTGTACCGGTCTATTGTGGTGAAGAGAGAGCTGAGCCAAAAAGCAAAGCTCTGGATTTACTGGGCGATCTACGTTCCTACCCTCATCTATGGTCATGAGCTTTGGGTCATGATGGAAAGAAGAGATCCCGGATCCAAACTGCTGAAATTAGTTTTCTTCATAGTGTGGCTGGGCTCTCCCTTAGAGAGGGGGAGGAGCTCCGTCATCCAGGGAGGACTTAGAGGAGAGCCGCTGCTCCTCCTTATCGAGAGGAGCCAGCTGAGGTGGCTCAGGCATCTGGTTAGGATGCCTCCTGGACGTCTCCCTGGTGAGGTGTTCTGGGCATGTCCCACCGGGAGGAGGACCAGGGGGAGACCCAGGACACGCTGGAGAGACTATGTTTCTCTGCTGGCCTGGGAACGCCTTGGGATTCCCCCGGAGGAGCTGGACCAAGATGCTGGGGAGAGGGACGCCTGGGCCTCCCTACTGAAGCTGCTACCCCCACGACCCGACCCTGGATAAGAGGAAGAAGATGGATGGATGGATGGATGGATGGATGGATGGATGGATGGATGATTGATGGATTGATTCTCATAATTTTACAACTTTACTCTCAAAATTGAAGAAAATAATCTCCAGCCTGGGACTATTACTCTGTCGTATTATTGGCTACTTTTTAAATCAATTCTATATTATTAAGTCCTTGGTTTATTTCTGTACGTATCTTAATTATGGCAGGATTGGTCCTCCATAAACAGGAAGCTGATCCCATCTTTCAGGGAAAGTGTGTCGTCATCAGCAACTTTTAAAAAGACGTGTTGGTTTCCTTAAGAAGCTGTTTGAGCTGCTGCCATTAATCCCTTCTGCAACAAGCAGTGCTGCGTTCAGGGTCAGTATTTGGCAGGAAATCTGGGTGCCTAGACACACCCACAGGACTCACTATTTGGCCAGCAGCAGAAAGGCGGGAGGGACAGTGGAAGATTTTTAGCTCCAAAGCAAACTTGCACACATGCGATTCTTCATGCAGCAATAAAAAAACAACAACAACACGACAGCTTCCTGTTTTTGTTTTCACAATAAAAGCTGCCAGACAATTTCTAGAAAGAAACGACACAATTAGAATTAGATTGAAATATTCGTCACTAAAAGGTATAATTCTTTCAGTATTATTAATTAATTCATTAGTTTTCCAACTGTGAATGCTGCACCAGAATAAAGATGCAGTTATTCCATTTATTTATGGACCTTTTCAGAAGGTATCTGAAGCTTCCACCTTAAATCAATTAAGTCTCCTGCTATGAAACTTCTTCTTGTTCTTAGATCATTTTTCAGCTAATTTCAACCACGTCAAACATTTTAATTGTTTTTCTTATTGCTGTGTTTGTAATTATTTTTAAACAGGTCTCTGTTGCAAATGAGATCTTGGATCTCAATGAGACAACATGTAAGAGAAGTTGGAATGAAAAATGGAAAAAAGTCATCCAAGCAAACCTTTCATGAAAATCAAAAAATTATCATCAGATTTATAAAATACAGTTATATAGACATTACTGTTCTAAAAATATGTTGGAATATTGTCACTTTCAATTCCTCAGTATCTTTATTAATTTATCCAGTGAAAGCTCCGTCAGTGCTAACCTGACCTCAGCAATCCCTCCTAATCACCATCCCTTATTCCATGTTTCATTTTAGTAGCAATGCTGCCATTTAATAGATATTAAAACATAAGTGGAAAGGATCCCTCGGTCTACAGCTTCCTGTCCTTTAAAGGAAAAGTCGCTCATATTCAGAATCCAAACTTCTGAAAGTTCTTTAAATCTGAAATGATTCCATCCTGTTTAATAAATGATCAGTGTTTTTAATTCAGAGTAATTTTCATGTGAATGTGCTTTACTGGAGGCATCCATGTTTGTCAAAGAACACTACTGCCACCTACTGGTTAGTGACGTCACGGTGCGGTATCGGCTGTTGATCAAGTCCCAGTGCTGTATCTGGTGTTTGTCACAACGCGCTATTATCCAAGTCATCTTGAAAACATTCTTCTTCCAAATGTTGGCTACATATTACGGGTTTTTTCTCTGGCCAGAAGTTCGATGGCAAATCCTCCCTCTTCAAGTTGGCGATCCAACGACCAACCCGTCCGTGGAGGATCAGGAATCAGAAAGGTGGAATAACTCTTTTTTTCACTTTTACCCGATGTATTCCAGCATCCAGCTGCCATGCACGTGGGCATTGTCAGTTTCACTATAGCTCTGGTGAATTTCAATGGTGAAGTCCTCTGGAAATCTTCAATAATTGTTGTTGATTGCAGATGTGTCTAGTAGTTCCCATTGATTTAGCTTGGAAAGCGGGGAGAATGGCGCTAGGCTTACCGCACCGTGACGTCACTGCTGGAAGATGGCAGGAGGGAGGGGCTACTAGATTTGGGCAAAAATGGCCGCTCCCAGACTCAGTGATTGAGACGAAAATTATTTTTTATTTTTTTACTGATTAAAAAGCTAAATTCATTAAATCACTGGGATGGCATTAGTTTTAGGTATAAATAATGATTAATTGATTATTCCTGCTGACCGGACTTTTCCTTTAAAGCTTCCATATTATTCTACAGTCAAAAATAAAAGTATGAACACTGAGGCCCTCAGAGCAGCTTTTTGCCGTCTGTGCAGGAAATCCTCTCAGATCAGGCAGACATGATTGGATGAAAACTGACCCAGAAATATGGAGTTTAAAGCCTTAAGGTATGTTCAGATTCTACCAGCATTCCCGGTTAAAATCAGAACTCTGAAGTTTTTAAATAGTGTGTCTGGGCCCCCATCTGATCATGTCAGGTTTACACTCATCTGATGGTTCTGGGTCTGATGGCGGTTGCTTCTTGTTAAAACATTGAGGTTTCTCTTCACTGGAAACACAAGCTTGAACACAGATTGCTGGACCTTCACTGACTCAAAGGACATGAATCGAGTTTTTTTAATGAATAGTTAAGCTTTCTAGCGTTATCTAATAACCTGAACAGACTCTAATTAGAGTTGGAGCTATGCTGGCCTGATATATCCTCAACATCTACAAAATCTCATTGAAAACTCCTCTACCGGTTAAAAACAACTTTTATCTGGACCAAACTGTGTTTAATATAGAGGAAAAAAAGACGCCCCAGACGCTGACCCTGAGGCACCTCACAGTGAATATTATTATATTGCTAAAGATAGGCTCGGTGTATGCACCTTGGAGCTCGATCTCTCTGGTTTAGAATCTGATAGAAATTGTAATCTTACTCAGATCAGAGAAGTTGCTTAGAATTTACAGAAGGCAGCTGCTCACCTCTGGGCTCACTTCTTGGGAAGTGATTAACAGTTAAAATGGCTTTTTCTGCCAAATCATCACATCATTACATCAAACACATTAGCAGATGATTAGACATCCATGGCTCCAGCCTTATCAAAATATTACACTTAGCTGAAGGACGTCGCTCTCCTTCATTCCCAAATCTTTGCCACGTGTAGAATAAAGATTATAACTGTATATCCAGACAGAGGAACTGTCCTAATTAGATAAACTATTGTGGGAAAACAGGCAGCTAATATTAAGGTGTAATAAACTCACCCATCATCAATGATAATTATCCTAAAAATATTACATAATTTAATATCATTACATAAACTATGAATGGAATGATAGGAACTGATGCAGTTCAAGCTGATCCGCAATCACAGCCGTGTGATCCAGGAGAGAGAAGATGGATGGATTCTCCACCCAGGTGGAGCCCAGAGAGGTGAGCAGGGTGGAAAGTGTCAGAGTTGATCTGTAAGAGAAGCAGGGGGGTGATTGACCATTAGGCAATAATAGGCAGCTGCTTAGGGCCCCCAGTTCCTTGGGACCAAATACAATTCTGTTTACATCTATAGTTAATACATCTATTCCTTATTTGTTCACATTAATGATGTTTTTGATAAAAATCCTTTGGCTAAAATGCCATCAGAACGCTGATAATATTAAGTGTGTCTCAGCCCCCCCCCTTCAGTGTCCACCATATTGGATCAGTCCATTTGCTGCACATGTTCAGAAAGGTCCAAACAGACAGCAGCAAACCATTTGAAAACAAACCATGCAAAGAGCAGTGTTGCCAACTTAGCGCTTTAGTCGCTATATTTAGCCACTTTTCAGACCCCTCTAGCACTTTGATTTCTAAAAAGCTCCTAGCGCCAAATCTAGAGACTTTTTTCTGCTACTGGAGACTTTGGAGACAACATCTAAAAGCAGCGAACTCTGCTCTCCACAGCGAGTAGATTGGTAACCCCGCCTCCTGCTATCCTCTATCTTGTCTGCTGTCATGATTCATGCAGCTATTATTTCATCCAAATGAAAAATGGAGAACAGATAAGCAGATCATGGCTTGTCTACAGTGAAAAGAAGGACTGGGTTATTTACTTTGGCCTTTTTGGAAACACAGGAAGGAGCAATCAGCTAAGTGAGCTTAGTGCTTGGAAAAAATATTTCATTCCTTTAGAGACAGCATGAAAAGTCAGCTGAGTACAAAACATAGAGAGGAAAACAAGAAGAAAAGGGACAAGAAGAGAGGGACACAACCTAGAACAGATAATGGATGTCTATTCTATTAACATTTCTACATCTGGAGAATGGGGCTGTTTGATGTCTTCTCAATTCAGAGGGCCCCCTGCCTGTCTTTGCCTAGGGCCCCAAATTTCCCAAATCCGCCCCTGTGGGTACACCAAGCTCCCCTCCCGCGTTTTGATTATTTGAGAAAATAAAGAAAATTGAAAACCACAGCTTAATGGAAAATTAGCAAAAATATATTTTTTCTGAAATATTTATTGGTCATTAAAAAGAAAAAAGCTTCAGAATAAAAAGAATGAGTTCCTAGAGGGGAACCATGCGGGGGTCTGGGTCAGAGGCCTCCCTCTGGCCGGTGCTTTTATTTTGAAGGGCGGGGCCAGACTTTCCCGCCCTCCCTCCATCTTGGCGCAGCGGAGCCTCATCGGAGGCAGCGGATCAATCCGGAGCTTCGGCGGCTGATCGGGATTATGCGGCAGCGCTGATCGCCGCTCGGTGAGTAGCCGCTGCTGCCGCATCGGAACCGGAACCGAGCCGTGGGTTCGGTCCACGGCTTTCCTCGGCTCCCTGCCCCCCACCCCCCTGCCTTTGTTCCCTTGCGCCTCTTCTTGCGGCTCTTTTTGCGCCTCTGCAGGGTCTGTGACTAACGGCTCTGCGGGAGGAATCTACTTTCCGCCGTTTCTCTGCGGCGCGTGGCGGCCACACGTTGGGTTGCAGCGGCGGGTTTTTTTTTTTTGGAGGAACTGCGTGACCTCTGGATGATGGACCTCTTCATCATCCTCAGCAACCAAAACAAACAGCGGGTCCTGCCGGAGCTCTGAGATTTGGCCGCCTGGGGGCGCTGCAGTTAGAAGGTCAGGGCCGGTGCCACCACCGAGGGGAACCAGGGCCCATTCATCAAGGGGCCCCCAGGAACCTGGTCCACATGTGGTTCCCAAGAATCTGACTGAAGGGCAGAACAAATCAGAACCTTCTGGAGAATATTTCAGCATAGATATTTCCACCTAGATTCAACAATTTAAAAAATATAAATAAATAAATCGTTTCGGCTTGGAACTGGTCGCTGCCGGTGTTCTGTCAGACCAGTCGACCCATAGTCAATACGCATGCATCTATCCCACTGATCTCTAATTATTCACTGGATTGCTGATTGTCAGAAAAAAGTGAAGCCACCGTCCGCCATCTTGGTACTCCCCACTCCCACGGGGACCTCCCTGTTTAGCATTTAGCTGCTAAAACCAGCAGTTTTCTGTCTACTGATGCTATGAAACAGCCAGTCTGTGTCAAAGTGATGAATTTATCTTTATTTTAAAAGTCTAAAGTCCCTGAAAATGAGAGCATTGTGGTTGTTTGATGCTGTAGCGCAGATTGTTTACAAAACTAAAAGGATAAACCGTATGCTCAACTGACAGAACACCGGTGGTCTGTCAGATGAGCATTTTGAAGCGTATGGCGATCTGACCTTAAATAGTTTTTTTTGTTTTTTTGTACATGACAAAAAAAACCCAAAGGGATAGACGCCCGTAGAGGTAGTTTAAAGTCTATTTTTTGTACAAAACTAAAGAGATAAACACAAATCTGACGTCTTGCATGCGTATCGACTGTAGGTATGCTGGTCTGACAGAACAGCGGTTTGTTCCGTTTGAAATGGGGAATTCAAGCCGTCTTTGTTTTCCACAGCAGGTTCTCTTCCTTTGAGGGAATTTTCTTCCCTTATTGCTTCAAGCGAACAATATTTTACTCTTTAAACACCTTGTAATCATGAAGGTTGTTTTAAATTTGACTTTGCTGCTTTCTAATATTTTATTTTTTCCAATTGTATTTTCTTTATTATATTTTTCAGTTTTACATAAAGTTAAATAAACTGTTAGTTCTGGGCTTGAAGTGAAGAGTTCTGTGAAACGCAGTTTAAAAAAGAACGTATTTCACAGTGGAGCAGTGGGTCGTCCTGCTGCCTTGCAGCAAGAAGGTTCCATGTTCTCCCTGAGCATGCGTGGGTTCTCTCCGGGTACTCCGGGTTCCTCCCACAGTCCAAAAACATGACTGTTAGGTTGAGTGGATTCTCTGAAAATGGATAAAACAATAAATAAAAACAATTAGAAACAAAATCTGAGAAAATAAAGTAGAAATAAAAAATTTTCGGGATTAATCCCAATGTAAAAAGTTTTTTAGGACGGATCCTGTAAAAGGACGACTGAGGGCCGTGTGGTTCTGTTACTTTCTGCCTTTAGTCTCTGCAGACGGATGTTGGCTCTGATCATCAAGCATCACCACACGTGGACGTTTCCTGGCGTTTAGATCTGTAGCTGAGCTGGGCGCCATCATGTTGCAGCGCCACCATGTTCAGCGGCAGGGGAAGGAAAGCAGAAGCTTCTCTGGGTGTTTCATTTTAGATTTCAGTCACAGAGAAACTCCAGATAAGCTGCTGCTTTGTTTCCAGGGTGACACCTGCTGAGATGACGGCGGCACGTTCTGCTCCAGCCTCACAACAGGAACAGGAAACCAGCCTGACCCTGAAACTACTGCAGCGCTGCATGCAGCTGCATGCATCAGCAGGATCCTCCTGCAGCCAACGGCCGCCTCATCGCCACGCAGCCGATCCTCTCACTGGGGGGTTGGGGGATAGTTTTGCTTTTACATCAAACTCACCGAGAGATGGAGGTGAATCTATCGGCCCGTTTTAGGCAGACGAATTCTGTTGAATTCAGTTTATTTCTATAGCAACGATTCACATCATGTCATCTCAGGGCACAGTGGAGAGGAAAAACTCCCTTTGAACAGGAAGAAACCTCCAGCAGAACCAGGCTCAGTGTGAGCGGCCATCTGCTGAGGCCCACTGGGGTTCAAGGAGACAGAAGCAGACATAGAAAAAGAAGCATAGATACAAAAGGCAACTGTCAACCAGCTCCACAGGCGGCCCCGTCCAGGAAACACACAGCCAGGCAGACGAGCTCCGAGCCAGCTCCCATGTCAGAGGATGAAGAGAGCACATCCAGTTAGTCACAGTCAGAGAAACAGGACTACACTGGAAAACAGGCCAAGCTCCAACATCTAGAAACAAAGGTGTTGATGGCAGCAGCACAGCTGATATTTCTCTCCAGGATGGAGTCACAGCCAAACAGGAACAGACCAGATGAAGCTACTATGAGAAAAAGCAGAGAGAGCAGAACGTTAGAGATTGAACTAACAGATTCTGCAGAGTGGGAGAATAGAGATAGAATGAAGCAGAATGATGAAAAAGGGGTCCCTATGTCCTCCAGCAGTCTAAGCCTATAGCAGCAGAACTATAGATGAACAGAACTCAGATAAGATCCTGGAGAAATGTTTCAGTTATGGGTTTTTGTTTCTGCAGAAAATCTTCTGTTCCTGTTGGAGTCCAGCAGCTGACGTCACCTCAGCCTCCAGGCGTTAAACCGACCCGGATGAGCCGCCTCGGGGGTCTGGACTAATTCCTGGCTCTCCCTCCTCCCCTTTCCCTTCCCTCCCCCCTCCCTTCTCCCTCCCCCAAACCCTGCTCTGAGTCCAGACTGAAGCAGCGTCCTGATTGGCCGCCTCTACCCGCCCACCCCCACCACAGGTGGATGAATGAAGACTCCAGCGGTTCCGGGGCCCCAGGAGGACGAGGGTGAGTTTGGGACCAGAACTTCTCAGACATCAAATGTTTGGGCTTCCGATGGTTCCAGCCTGTTTTGCTCGGTTCTGCTGAGGCGGATCTCAGCGCCCCCTGCTGACCTTTCTGTGTTTTCTGTTCCAGGACATCCAGGCGTCTCTGCAAACATGATGAAGAAGAAGAATCCTCACAAGTAGGTCCTAAAATGTAACCTCCAGTATAAATGTCTGGTTCTTTTGGACCAGAGGTTGAAGCCAAGAGTCGATGGTGTTACTGTGCCAGTTAGCGCCAACATGGAGTCATGAACATGTTTTATGGAAGGTTTTTCCGTCTTGCAGGAAGCAGAAGACCAGCATTGGTCCCAGTAAGACTCTGGTTCAGCCCCAAAGGAACATGGTTGGCTGCAGGATCCAGCACATCTGGAAGGAGGGCAGTAAGTTGGGTTTAAGTGATGCGATAGTGAAGATTTTCTCTGGTTTTTAAAGAATGATGCAAAGAGCTCTGCTCTTCCCACAAGGTAAATCCTCCCAGTGGAAAGGCACGGTCCTGGACCAGGTACCCGTCAATCCCTCCCTGTACCTGATCAAATACGACGGCTTCGACTGCGTCTATGGCCTGGAGCTGCACTCCGACGAGCGGGTGGTGGGGCTGGAGGTGCTCCCTGACAGAGTGGGTGAGGAGCCACTGCCGGTTCACTGCCTCGCTTCGACATCTGGAAGACATTCCTACCTCTGATTGGCTGAGATCCAGATGGTCACATTCTAGAGCATGTCTACTTCCATATCTAGGAAGGTCTAGATTAGCAGACACGGGATTCTTAATGGAATGGTATAATTTCATCAGTAAAATACACTGAAATCTAGATATAAAGATCTATGACCTTTTGACTTCTAAACTATTACATCTTTTAATGTATTTCTAGAGCAGTTTGATTTGATTTGCTTTTAGAGCTTTAATTTGGGGAAAATAAAATGGCTCAAACGTTTTGTAGAAACTGGAGACTTGATCTATGTCTATCAGATTCAATGAACTGCAGTCCAAGTATTAAGTTTCCAGAAACACAACAGCTTAGAAAATTCACAAACTACCTTCTTTCATTCCTGCAGTTTTGGAGGGTTTAGGCTGTTTGGGGTTATATTGTTCTGGATTAGGGCTACCAGTCCTGGGATGGCTGTCTGTTGTGTGGATGTTCCCTGTGGGAGGGGCTGGTCTTTAGGGTGGGTGTCCTGTGGGAGGACCTGGTCTTTAGGGTGGGTGTCCTGTGGGAGGGCCTGGTCTTTGGGGTGGGTGCTCTTGTGGGAGGGCCTGGTCTTTAGGGTGGGTGTCCTGTGGGAGGGCCTGGTCTTTAGGGTGGGTGTCCTGTGGGAGGACCTGGTCTTTAGGGTGGGTGTCCTGTGGGAGGGCCTGGTCTTTGGGGTGGGTGCTCTTGTGGGAGGGCCTGGTCTTTGGGATGGGTGTCCTGTGGGAGGGCCTGGTCTTTGGGATGGGTGTCCTGTGGGAGGGCCTGGTCTTTAGGGTGGGTGTCCTGTGGGAGGGCCTGGTCTTTAGGGTGGGTGCTCTTGTGGGAGGGCCTGGTCTTTAGGGTGGGTGTCCTGTGGGAGGGCCTGGTCTTTAGGGTGGGTGCTCTTGTGGGAGGGCCTGGTCTTTGGGGTGGGTGTCCTGTGGGAGGGGCTGGTTTTTAGGGTGGGTGCTCTTGTGGGAGGGCCTGGTCTTTAGGGTGGGTGTCCTGTGGGAGGACCTGGTCTTTGGGGTGGGTGTCCTGTGGGAGGGCCTGGTCTTTAGAGTGGGTGCTCCTGTGGGAGGGCCTGGTCTTTGGGGTGGGTGCTCCTGTTGGAGGACCTGGTCTTTAGGGTGGGTGTCCTGTGGGAGGGCCTGGTCTTTGGGGTGGGTGCTCCTGTGGGAGGGCCTGGTCTTTGGGGTGGGTGCTCCTGTGGGAGGACCTGGTCTTTAGGGTGGGTGTCCTGTGGGAGGGCCTGGTCTTTGGGGTGGGTGTCCTGTGGGAGGGCCTGGTCTTTAGGGTGGGTGTCCTGTGGGAGGGCCTGGTCTTTAGGGTGGGTGTCCTGTGGGAGGGCCTGGTCTTTAGGGTGGGTGTCCTGTGGGGGGGCCTGGTCTTTAGGGTGGGTGCTCTTGTGGGAGGGCCTGGTCTTTGGGGTGGGTGTCCTGTGGGAGGGCCTGGTCTTTAGGGTGGGTGTCCTGTGGGGGGGCCTGGTCTTTAGGGTGGGTGCTCCTGTGGGAGGGCCTGGTCTTTAGGGTGGGTGCTCCTGTGGGAGGGCCTGGTCTTTGGGGTGGGTGCTCCTGTGGGAGGACCTGGTCTTTAGGGTGGGTGTCCTGTGGGAGGGCCTGGTCTTTGGGGTGGGTGCTCCTGTGGGAGGGCCTGGTCTTTGGGGTGGGTGCTCCTGTGGGAGGACCTGGTCTTTAGGGTGGGTGTCCTGTGGGAGGGCCTGGTCTTTGGGGTGGGTGTCCTGTGGGAGGGCCTGGTCTTTAGGGTGGGTGTCCTGTGGGAGGGCCTGGTCTTTAGGGTGGGTGTCCTGTGGGGGGGCCTGGTCTTTAGGGTGGGTGCTCTTGTGGGAGGGCCTGGTCTTTGGGTTGGGTGTCCTGTGGGAGGGCCTGGTCTTTAGGGTGGGTGTCCTGTGGGGGGGCCTGGTCTTTAGGGTGGGTGCTCCTGTGGGAGGGCCTGGTCTTTAGGGTGGGTGCTCCTGTGGGAGGGCCTGGTCTTTGGGGTGGGTGTCCTGTGGGAGGGCCTGGTCTTTAGGGTGGGTGTCCTGTGGGAGGGCCTGGTCTTTGGGGTGGGTGCTCTTGTGGGAGGGCCTGGTCTTTGGGGTGGGTGTCCTGTGGGAGGGCCTGGTCTTTAGGGTGGGTGCTCCTGTGGGAGGGCCTGGTCTTTAGGGTGGGTGTCCTGTGGGAGGGCCTGGTCTTTAGGGTGGGTGCTCTTGTGGGAGGGCCTGGTCTTTGGGGTGGGTGTCCTGTGGGAGGGCCTGGTCTTTAGGGTGGGTGCTCCTGTGGGAGGGCCTGGTCTTTAGGGTGGGTGCTCCTGTGGGAGGGCCTGGTCTTTAGGGTGGGTGCTCTTGTGGGAGGGCCTGGTCTTTGGGGTGGGTGTCCTGTGGGAGGGCCTGGTCTTTAGGGTGGGTGCTCCTGTGGGAGGGCCTGGTCTTTAGGGTGGGTGCTCCTGTGGGAGGGCCTGGTCTTTAGGGTGGGTGTCCTGTGGGAGGGCCTGGTCTTTGGGGTGGGTGTCCTGTGGGAGGGCCTGGTCTTTAGGGTGGGTGTCCTGTGGGAGGGCCTGGTCTTTAGGGTGGGTGCTCCTGTGGGAGGGCCTGGTCTTTAGGGTGGGTGTCCTGTGGGAGGGCCTGGTCTTTAGGGTGGGTGTCCTGTGGGAGGGCCTGGTCTTTGGGGTGGGTGTCCTGTGGGAGGGCCTGGTCTTTAGGGTGGGTGTCCTGTGGGGGGGCCTGGTCTTTGGGGTGGGTGCTCCTGTGGGAGGGCCTGGTCTTTGGGGTGGGTGCTCCTGTGGGGGGGCCTGGTTTCCCATTGGGTAGGTGGCATCCACCCTTCATGCTCCTACTCCCTGCCATGTTTCCAACCGCCGCCACATCGTTTGGATTCTGTACCGTACCCAGTAGAACTGAGCTGAGTGGTTCTGACCCGCTCTCTGTGACTGTTCCAGCTCAGGCTCGGGTGAGCGACTCCATGCTGGCCGAGACCATGATCGGTAAGGCGGTGGAGCACATGTTCGAGACAGAGGAAGGTCCCAAGGAGGAGTGGCGGGGGATGGTTCTGGCTCGGGCCCCTATCATGACATCCTGGTTCTACATCACCTATGAGAAGGACCCGGTTCTGTACATGTACCAGCTGCTGGACGACTACAAAGAGGGAGACCTGCGCATCTTGCCCGACTGCAGTGAGTGTCTGTCCAGACCCAGTTCAGTGCAGGGCGCCGTGCTCCGGCCCGTTCGGGCTACTATAACGCAAAGGTTCTTGTGTTTGTGTCCACAGACGACAATATGGCGTCAGAGCGGGAACCTGGCGAGGTGGTGGACAGTCTGGTGGGGAAGCAGGTGGAGTACGCCAAAGAGGGTGGCGGGAAGCGTTCGGGAATGGTGATCCACCAGGTGGAGGCCAAGCCCTCCGTCTACTTCATCAAGTTCAACGACGACTTCCACATCTACGTCTACGACCTGGTCAAGACCTCCTAGGAGCCCAGAAAGTTCCAGGACAGCAGCCGGATTTCAGGGCATCCAGAGAGACGAGTTGTGTGGCGCCGCGTCCTAATCAGTCATTATTCTTTAATGTTTCACCTGGTTCCGCTGAGACTCGTCACAAACATCATAAACCTTTGCGTCGGTCCGGACCTGCAGACAGAATCCAGAGGAACCGCCCGTTTCCTGAAACCGAGCTGGACCCCCTGTGGTTCTGAGCTCATGGGGTTAATGAAGGGAGCGGCCCAGACCAGAACTCCTGCTTCTGGTGCCGGACGCAGCGGGTCAGCTGCTGGGGTTCTGTTTCCGGGTCCAGTAAAGACGTTCCCTGTAATTAAGCATTCGGTTCGGACCGGCGCCGCTCTGAATACATTTGTGCCAAAACGACCTTCACATAGTTGAACTGTTTAAATGTTCTGATCCAAACCACAGATTGTTCTGCCCAGAACCATCCTGGATTATTTTGTGTGATGTCACCGGTTCCGGTATGACCCAAACCCCCCCCCGACCTGTTCCCATCTGTATAAAAACGGACACCATTCTGTTCTGGTCCAGACTTGTTCCGTCTGAAGTTCTCGGGTCGCCGTTGAATGAACGGTACCGGTTCCTCTGTGTTTCTGTTCTGTCAAAGCTGCTTGGTTCCCGGCCGGAGAAAGGAGGTTCTGGATCTCGTAGGAATGGAGCCGGTTCTGGGACCTGTGTGGTGCTGGCAGGTCCGGTCCGGTGTTTGGACCGCCTCCTGGTCTCTGTAGCTCTTATGATCCGTTTCCTGGTGCCGTGTTGCCTGATCCATATCTCACGTGCCTGAAGGGTCCGATCTAGAAGGTTCTGCTGGCCGGCGGAGAACATCTCTGATCCAATCTGATCCAGGAGCTTCGGGTTTCAACCGTTTCTAATTTTAGAATCTAGATTCCTGATCTGTTCCTTTTGGTTCCTCAGAAGCTGCAGTTCTGGCCCAGACCCGGTTCAGAAAACGCCTTTTAACAGCTTAGACCTTTACTTTTGATTCGTAGAAATAAAATCTGTCAACCCAGAACCAAACGCAGAGTTCTAGAACCGGCGGGCCGTGGTTCTGAAAAGAATCAAGGTAAAGATAAAAGCTGCTTCTAGAGCTGTGGCTCTAGGAACCAGAATCTGGTTCTGATCTGGTTTGGACCTATTAACCGTTCCAGAGCAAAGGAACAGCCGGGTCGGGTCCGGAACAGCTGGATTCTTCTGAGACCAGTTTATCGGCTGATATCTGGTAGCAAACTTTAAAATCTGTTTTATTTTGGAGAGTTATTTTTTTTACTTCCTGTTGGACCCAGAACCTTCCCAGTTCTTGTTTTAGTGGAAATTCTGATGTTTCTTCATTTCCATGTTTCTCCAGGTCCATTCAGGTTTTTAACCTTAAAACATCTCATCCTGCCTTCCTGACCTTTGACCTTTAAAGTCACCAGAAATCCAAGCCTTTTAAAACCAACAGAAGTGAACCTGAAGCTCCTGGCTTCATCGGTCGCCTTGAAAGTGGAACTTTAGTTTCCACAGAGAACCAGGATTTATAGATCTGATGCAGTTCTATAATGACTGAATCTATAAACGTATCTCTGCTCTAGAAGTGGTTGTTTAACCTCAGCTTTATTCGTTGGAGGATTAGAGCTTTTATTTCCTTCATCGGGGTTCGGATCCTAGAACTTGAGGTAAAATCAAAGTGCTTGTGACGTCTTGTTTTGTAATTCTAGAACAGATCTGACTTCCATCTGGATGTTCTGGGAGAACCTTGAAATAACAAAATCTACATAGTTTTCATTTCTTACAGTGACTGAAGATGTTTTATTGAATGATCCGTATTTAGTTCTAGACGCCAGTCTGGATGCAGCTTTTTTTTAATCCGTTCTCTAAATAATTTTCCGTTTCTTGACATCGTCAACATTTTCCACTACAAGCAGCCCTGCTGCAGCTGGAAACCAGCTGAAAGGATCCAGATGTTCTGTCAGGACTCGTGGAGAAACCATGCTAGCAGCACTGACTCTCCTTCCATTTGGTTCTAGAAAGTAGATCTAGAATCCACCCACTGCTGCTCTAGAATCACTGGGGAATGTGAACCGTAACGCCCCTAAAGGCAGATGTGATGTTTGAGGATAAAACAGGGTCCGTTTTTGTTTTTTTTCCCCAGAAAACGTTGGATCTGTCGTGTGATTGGTTGTGTGCACCGTGGCTCCGCCTCTGTTCAGATAGTGTTACTGCATGCCTTAATAACCGACGTTTGTCGCATGTTTGTAGTTTTTCGGTTGTTCGGTCCAGGCCTGTCTGCTTTTGGTGCCTCTTGTTTTATTTTTATGTTTCCTGGTTTATACTGTTAGCCCCGCCCCCTGAGCAGAGGCGACGTGAAGATGGCTGTAAATTTGATGTTTCAGGGTGCCAACTACAGATGCCAGTGTTGTACAGCGATGGAGAGCTCGCTTTATTTACATGAATAAAAACCTGTTTTTCATACGACTCCGTCTGTGATTCAGTAGCGACTAAAACCAGAAATATGAAAGTAGAAAATACAAAATAAACTCAGAGGCTCTGATCCAGGAGGGCCATCTGCGTGAGAAAAGTAGAAGGTTAGTTGTAGAAGTAGCTTCATTCAGGAGGGAAACAGAAAAGCTTCATGTCTACAGGAAGAAAGAGAGCAGATCTAGTTAGTTACAATGAACGTGCAGCCAGTAGCTCTAGGAGAGGAAGAGTTAACCACTGATAGACCAAGTAGATCATCTACAGAACATGAAGCAGCGGCCCGGCTGAAGCCTTCATCCAGGACCGTGTCAAAGCTCAACAAAAACAAGCAAGATGAAGCTACAACAAAGAAAAACTAAACATCAAGATGTAATAAGTGCAAAATAGAATGATGAAAAAGGGGTCCCTATGTCCTCCAGCAGTCTAAGCCTATAGCAGCAGAACTATAGAGATAGATCAGGATAACCTGAGCCACTCTAACTAGAAGCTTTATCAAAAAGGAAAGTTTCAAGCCTAGCCTTAACAGTGGTGTAATAGCAAAACCGATTATTCAACTATACAGTCCAGTTAAATATACAGAGATCAGTCGGTGCTTTAACTTTGAAAAGTAAAAAGAGAACAAAACAATTATCAAAGCATGATGTTCTGATTTAGAAAGAGTTTGTCTCACATCAGTGGAAAAGCTGTGAAAGTTGTCAGAGTCAAAACAGTTTACAGACACTTTGGTTTATCAGAAAAAACCTTGAGAAAGAACCCGGTTTGTTATGGGGAGAAGTGTTTGTTTTTCCCAAAAAACTTTCACACAGAAACTTTGCCACCTTATATGTGAAACAGTAAAAACCTTCTTAAGTAAGTAAAAAGAAAATCAATATTCAATAAATAAATGTATGGAATCTGAAATGAATTGGAATCTACATTTTTTTCTATATGTAAAGAAAACTAGAAGATAAAAAATGTTAAAACTATAAAGTTGTATTCTTGGGGTCTTCTGAACGGCCGGCAGCCTAGTGGTTAGGGCATAGAGCTATGACACTCTGGGTCCCTGAGCATGACCTTTAACTCCACACTGCTCCCCAGGCTCTGCACAATGGCAGCCCACTGCTTCCTGAGGGAATGGGTTAAATGCAGACAGTGAGTTTCCCAATGTGAGATCAATAAAGTTCAATTCAATTATAAATCTGTAGGTCTGCTTCGATTAGACCTGGATCTACTCACACTTTTGTGGTAGATGTCAGTTATTTTTCAGGCTACCAATTAGATGGCAGTGTGTTCCTAAATCCCGCCTATCGTGAGCTTAATGAGGTTGATTCTATTCTGTCTGCTTCTATGTGTTTGTTCTAAACCAAATCAGAAGACGTTGCTGCTCCTTCCATCTTCCTCCTGCCTGTATCTAGAGGTCAAGTAAAGAGGCAACTGGAGAGACTGAAGACCTCCCGCCTTGTTCCAGGACCAAAGAAGACTCAGCCAACAGTCCTCAGTGATTATAGATCTGTTGCTCTGACATCCCACATCATGAAGGTCAATTTAATTCAGTTTATAGAATAGACTCGTTAGTTTTGTTTCATTTAAGCTTATTTTCATTATGGCCTGTTGGTATTTAAAAAACAAACAAAACAAAAACTAAATATTTAATTTCAATCAGACAAATTCCTTGGGGGTTGGACTCGGTGCTGCCCCAACTTGTTCACCACAAACCAAAATAAATAGTTTTTGAAGATGATGCAATGTTAAATTTGACACTGTTATTATTAGTTCTAATTCAATTCTATTCAGTTTATTTCTATAGCTCCAATTCACATCATGTCATCTCAGGTCACTTTCCAGTTCACCAGATCATCCAGTCAGATTGATTCAAAGTTTTCTATCTGAGGAAAACCAGCTGATTGCATGGACTCATTGACTCTTCAGCAATCCCTCACACTAAGCATGCTTGTAGCGACAGTGGAGAGTTAGTCACGGTCAGAGAAACAGGACTACACTGGAAAACAGGCCAACCTCCAGTATCCTAGAAAGATTCCTGTTGCTTCACCTCAGCAAACAAACCAAATCATGGATAGATTAACTTTTCTAATTCCTGATAAACTTTATCTGACAAATATCAACATGGTAATATTTTTTTAATCTTATTTCATGAACCAAAGTTGTATCTCTAAAGGACTCTACATGTCCAATAAATCATATTATCCATGTATTAAACTGACGTTCTTATTATTTACTTTTTTGATTTATTTCGCTTTAAATCTCATAAAGTAATTAATGTACACCACGCCATATTGTTTAGTGCAGTTTCACTTCCCGACACCAGGTGTCGCCTCATCTTTTCTATGTTTTACACCCATAATGCATCTCTGCTGGTTTGCTCCATTCCTCCTCTTTAGGTTCACATTTGGAGCTTTGAACAACACAAGTTATTTTTTTTTACATCACAGATCTCTTTGCTTTAGAGCCTTTTTGGTGGATGTTGAAGAGAAAGAGGAGAAAGTTGCACTAAAACCGTGAGTCAGAGAGTCAAAGCAGAGCAATAAGAATGGTGGCCGCCATGTTTAACGCTGATCCTTTCGGTTCATGAAAATGATGATTGGTTGAATCACAGTTTATCTGTGAGGAGGTGCGACTTAACCTTGTTACGCAATGTACCTTCAAACCATCTGATCCTGAACCGCAACATTGCTATGACTACACTCTCTAAAGTCAAACAATCGTTACAAGCAATGAAAGAACAAAAATATCGAAGATGTTTCTCTATGATAGTTTGAATATGAAATAGCTTCTCTGACTACTGAAAAATCGAATGGCGCATTTCTTAACCTCCTACGAGCAACTAAACTCTTATTCATTTTATTTCCATACAACTAAAGATAATCACCAGTGAACAATAAAACACTTTGCTTAACTCAACTTTATTTAAACAAGCACAAAGAAAGCCACCTGTGATTGGCAGTGATTTCCATCCAAATGAAATAAAGAAATGGGAGCGGTGACATATTTCACTGATCTAATCTCTTTATCTGAAATCAACAACAGAAACAAAGGCCTGAAAACATCCAGCTGAGTGAAATTTGTCTTTCCTTTAATCACTATCACTACTTTTATTTTTTATTTTTTTAATTATTATTATCATTTTTATTCCGACCCCTGGAGATTGTTCACTCGAAATTGTACTTCTTTCTTTTGGTATTTATGCTTTGATCGAACCTAATCTACTCTTCAATTTATTTCATGGATTTGTTTCTTTTCTTTTTATTAATAAAATCAGAATTAACAAAAAAAGCCTGCTTAATAATCTAATTGGACCGAAATGGATATTAATTGAGAGTGGCGCTGCAGCGCTTATCCCGAATGTGACCAAGTATCGCGACACTTCCTGTCCGTGTCTGTGACGCAGCGCGAGATCTGCAGCTAAACAAAGATGGTGTCCTTCTGATGGTCCATGTGGCTCCGAACATCAATCCCTCACTGACATTAAAGAAACGGATTGAATTGGACCGGAACCAGCTCGCTGAGTGTCTGAGAGGAACCGACAGGAAGTCAGGATGCAGCACGACGACGTGAGTTTATCGGCTCCTCTGGGGCTAATTTCATGTAGCATTTAGCCCCAGGCTAACGTTAGCTAAACTGCTTCAAACTACCTCTAACCGATCTAAATGATACCGGATCAGTTATCAGTGTTTCCCAAAGGTTCTGATCCAATCAAACAGAACTTTAGTGGATCTATTTCCCGGTTCGATGCCACCAACACCACAGTTAAAGGAATCTGAAGCATTGAATGGAAATAAATCAGCCAATCAGGTGGTTCTGAATGTTCAGATGAAGCTCATTTCCGGGGAACTAAAAGTCCATCTTTGAAAACATGGATCCAGTTCCCGAGGTTCTGTTGTTTCTGTTTGCTGCTGGATTCCTGGTTGGTTCCGGTTGTAGAATCCCGTCCAGAACTCCTGATCCGGATCACAGGAAGAAAGATCTGAACAATAGAGGAGTTCTGGAGGGTCCTTCAGATGTGGATCAGAACCTCTCTGTCTGTTAAAGGTGGTTCTGCTGGTTCTGATTCTGTTCTGCTCACTGCAGGTCATCTGGGACATCATCGGAAACAAGCAGTTCTGCTCCTTCAAAGTCAAGTAAGTCCGAAACTCCCACAAATGGATCTGTCTGGACCGGACTGGTGTTCTATCAGACCAACATACTCCCCCGTCAGACCAGCATACATACCCCCCCGTCAGACCAGCATACATACCCCCCCGTCAGACCAGCATACATACCCCCCCGTCAGACCAGCATACATACTTACTGCTATAGATGATCATTTTCTAGATTCTGTTCGATCCATAGAAGAAAATAACTGAAACCCAAACGGTTGAGTTTGATCCGATTCGTCCAGATCTGCATAAAAACTACCTCCTGCACTTTTAAATCAGTGTTGGTTCTGGACCCTGGTTCTGATAAATGTTCTGAGAACCTTCTGTGGAGGTTCTGTTTCCATCTCGACCTGCTGGATTTATTTCTGCTTCTGGAGGAGGGGTTCATCGGGTTCAGCTTCAATAAGTTCTGAAGGTTCTGGTTCTGGATCTATCAGAACCCTAACGGTCCTCTGTGTCCCTCTTCCCGCTCAGAACAAAGGGCCAGAACTTCTGTCGGAACGAGTTCAACCTGACGGGGCAGTGCAACCGCTCGGCCTGCCCGCTGGCCAACAGCCAGTACGCCACCATCAGGGAGGAGAAAGGTGAAGCTGCGTCATCATCATCATCGGCGGCGCCAGATGGGCGGAGCGTTAACAAGTCCGTTTTCTGTTCCAGGTCAGTGTTTCCTCTACATGAAGGTGATCGAGAGAGCGGCGTTTCCTGCCAGGATGTGGGAGAAGGTGAGACCACCATCATCATCATCATGACTGATGAACAGATTTGTTCCGGAACCATCAGCTTATTACGGGATGTTTGGTTGATCCAGGTAGTCGTTCAAACCGCTATTCAAGGGGTCTGGGTTAAATCCGACCAGAACCGTCAGCCTCAGCGGTCCTGGAAGACTACTGGCTGATTTGAAGGGGCGGAGTCTGTTAATTTAACATTTAAAGGCCTAGTTATCCTCCCGCAGCAGTGCGTCGCAGATATTTTTGATTTATGTCCAATATTGAAGAGTGGTCTGCGCTATGTTATTCCACGCCACAACGCAAGGGCCAATCAGGAACTAGCTGGGGGTCTAGATACGGCCGAGGCGGTGAGGAAGTGGGGGCAAGTTTGTGCGACGACGGAGGGACATGAGGGCCAAAAAGAGCGGGGGTCCAGGTGGAAAAAGGGTCCCAGCGTTCTCACACACCTCGCTCTGCTAGCTGCTCCATCTTCACCAGTTGTTTTTCACAATGGCGGCCAGACAAACAAAACTTTTTAGCCTGAAAACAGAACAACTCACCAGTAGGCTGATTTAGAAATGTTATTTTCTGTTCTGTTTTTCACGCTTGCATCTAAGATACATGAAGGTTCAAAGGCTGCCCCTCGCTAGCCTGGTGAGACCATCCTGATCTCGCGAGCTTTCAAGGTTTCACTCGCAGATCAGTCTGGAGACTCTCCGTTAAAGAAAATTTGGAGCCGTTCACCAAACGAACGTCCAATCAGCGTTGGCTTTGAGGCGGGTTGAGGTGTGACGCAACGAGAAGCGCCACAGTTCAGTCTAAAGAACATGGCGGCTTCAGCCGATGAAACTAGCGTTAGCGTGGCTATCGAGCAAGTTTTATGAGCATTACAGAGTATTTCTTCACTGAAAGAAGAGCAAAACACTGCTCTGGAGGCTTTTCTCAGAGGAAAACATGTTTTTGCTCTTCTCCCGACTGGTTTCACCAAGAGTTTGATCTATCAATTGGCTCCTCTTCGTCGTCGCTCTGTTAGTACGTCATATGCTTCGTTGATCTGATTGGTTTATTTGGCCCGTCTATCACCAACATAGGCCAATCAGCTAACCAGTATTTTCGCCCCTTCACAAAATTACTTCAACGGAAGGTTTCCAGATGGATATGCGGAGCAAATCCATCTGGCGGAGTCAGGTTCGCCCCTCGTATGACTCCACACCCAGGAAGTAGTTCTACGCCTTAAAAAGGTTGTGACCCCTGGTCTAAATCGGTCCGTATTATAAAAAGGTTGCTTGGTTTCCATGATGCTGTCTCCCCGTTTCTTCCTGATGTTCTGACAGGTTCTGGTTCCACCAGAACTTGGAGCTTCTGTAGATCCGTTAAATATCTGCTGCCGGTTTTATTTAAGCTTGATTTATGCTCGACGTGTCGGAGAGACCAGGGAAAATTTGTAACTATGAGGACGGAACCGCACAGAAAACATGGCAGCTCTTGTTGGCGAGGATTCGCAGGAGTAAACGTCTGAAGACATCCGGTGATTTAGTTCATAAATATCGTCACTTTCACCGCCGACTATGGAAGAAACATCCTGGAAATAAATGTCTGAGGCTCTCGAACCGCTTGAAGAGGCTTTGATTAAGATGGAAACTATTTTCTCCTTCCTCCTGTAGGGAGGTGTTATCACTGCAGCTGACGCTGTGATTGGTCCATCCTTTCACAAGCAGAATGAGCCCTTTGGTCTCCATGGCTACCATCTGATAAACAAATACCATCAATCATCTGACCTAACCGCTGTGTTCATGGTCGCCAGTTAGTTTGTTATAAAACTCAAAAAGGTTCCTGGAACCTGATAAATCGCTCTGAGGATCCTGAGGACTCGTCTTTTTCAGCTCACATCTGTCAGGTTTAGTTCTAGATCCTAGAAAAGTCGTTCCAGAACTTTTCTTGTTTTTCTCAGAGGTTCTGAAAACCTAAAACCTTCTTCAGCCAGCGGAAGGTTTTGGGTCAGAACTGACCCAGATTAAGAACCTCAGCATTATGCAGCCTCTCCTGTGTTTCATTCTGGGTCACCTTAGTTTGATGTCCTACAGGTCTGTGGCTCAAATGATCCAGTTTGGTTCTGTTGGACCTTGACCAGAATATCGGTGCAGTTGGTGGAACAGAACCATCTTTGGGCTCATCTTGGTTCTTTATTTCCAAACATGTAGATTTACGGTTCCGCTGTGGTTCCGAGGGTCCACATTCATGGAACCGGGTTCTTCTAGCTGCCGCTCCAGGTATTTGGGTCAGAACCGCTGTGAATGTCTGTCTGCAGGTGAAGCTGAGTAAGAACTATGAGAAAGCTCTGGAGCAGATCGACCAGAACCTCATCTACTGGCCTCGCTTCATCCGACACAAATGCAAGCAGAGGTTCACCAAAATCACCCAGTACCTGATCCGAATGCGCAAACTGGTCCTGAAGAGACAGTGAGTTCTGCAGAACTGCATCAGAACCACCGGCAGAACCAGGAGGTTCCTCATGTCTGCCGTTTCTTCTCTTCCAGGAGGAAGCTGGTTCCTCTGAGCAGGAAGGTGGAGAGCAGAGAGAAGAGGAAGGAGGTAAGATGGAGGCAATCAGAACCCCGAAGACCCGAACCCATCAGAACCGCTTTTTCACCGTCTCCTTCTTTCTGTTTGCAGGAGAAAGCTCTGATCGCCGCACAGCTGGACAACGCCATCGAGAAGGAGCTGCTGGAGAGGCTGAAGCAGGGAACGGTACGCCGAGCAGAACCGGGCCCATGACTGCGGTTCTGATCCGACCCGCCGGACTCACCCGTCCTG